GGACATCTAGACCCAAACCATAACACTTAGCAAGGGCTGAAAGAGACAAATGGTCCCTACCTAACCCTAGGGCTGGCCCAAGTGAGATTGCCAGCCAAAGCTGAAGCTAGCTGAGCCCAAGTACTTGATTGCTGTGTCTCTGAGTCCCTGAGACCACCAGAGGTCTTTCTAGGTGGCTCAGATTAGAACTAGAAGTTGAAGTACTATATAAGTAAATATCACATTTTATCTATTTCAGGATGCACATTTTTTTCACATTTTGACACTTCTGAAATAAGGCTACCACAGTTCATTTGGCATTGTTTTTCCTTTATCAGAGGCATATAATAACAATGTCTTAGACTCCATAAAATACTTTATCCAGGTTGGGTTTTTCAGAAAATAAAAGTTGGAAATGGAGTTACCAGTGCAAATGGTTCACTGTGAAAGAACAGAAGCCAGACTGGGCAGCTGGAGCCATCAGACTATAGTGAAAACCTGCTGGTTAGAGGTGTCTCACTTTGGGCATAGGTGGCCTTGCTCAGCCCTTGATGGGGGTCATCCTGAGAAAAGGGCACCCCTTGATCAGAGAACTGAGATGAACCCTCCACAGACTGAGAGCTGGAGGCTGCAAGCTTACCATGTTTCCCACTTCATAACCAAATTGAAGGAGGATCTGAGCAGCGCATCTTATCTGCCACATAAGTAAACAGATTTTACTCAACTAATTTTTATTGTTCCATGCAACAGAAATGCTATGAAGAATTATTTATTGTACCAGACATTGAGAATGCTCTACCCACTTGCTGGTCTGGTGTCCCTCTACCCTTTTCCACCAAGGAACAGCTTTGACCAGTGACACACAGAGGTTGGATAATACCCTATCTCCTGTAATTACCCCTCTGGGTTAAAACTCTGAGGCACACGATCCACACTGTCTGCCAGTGGAGTTAAGCTTCATTTTTTAAGTAACACACACTTTATTAATTTTTTCCTTTGTTTTACTTTCCCACCCTGCCCTCCTTAACCAGAGCCCCTGATATTTTCTAAGATCACCTCCCAAAGAAACTACTTACACTCAAAATTCATGTCTCAAGCCTTGCTTGTTAGAGAACGTAGTATGAGCCCCTAACAAAGCAAAAACCATTTGAACTAAAAAGCCTCCCCATGTTTCTAATTTATAATTAAGTTCCTTTAAATATGTGAGTGCTCATCATGGGTCTTCCTAAACTCACTATTTTTACATACATTTAAAATCACAGTTTTCTCACTGCCATCACTGTACATAGTAGCTAGCTCTGAGGAGTACTTACTGTGTGCCAGGCACAAGACAAAGCACTTCATAGGTGACCTACCATTGAAAACTCTTAGGTATTATTGGTCTAATTATCTGTATAGGTGAAAAGGGGAAGTAGTAAGGGCACTAGAGAAGTTCACTCTCTTGCAAATAAAAAACTCATCTTCCTGGTATGAATGGAATAAGATTCTTTTCAAAAGAACACTTGCTCATTTCTTTATTATTTTATCTTCTCTTCTTTTCCAGAGACTGACTTTTCTGTTCAAAGCTTTAGCTGGCAAATTCCCATTAATCACAGTGACTTCACAATATTAAAAAATCATGAGAGTCGGCTGTCCGACGTCCTACAGACTAAGTTTGGCTGTATCTCCACTCTGATCTCTCCAGCCCTGGCAGGTAACAGCCAGCCTCTTGCTCAGCAAGTCTTCAGAAAAAGGCTGAGTCCTGGACTAGAGTTGTCTGTCTGGAAGGATGACCTCACCAGACATGCTGTTGATGCTGTGGTGAATGCAGCCAATGAAGATCTTTGCCATGGGGGAGGCCTGGCTGGGGCCCTGGTGAGAGCTGGGGGCCATGAAATCCAAGAGCAGAGCAGACGATGGGTGGCCAGTTATGGTAAAGTACCAGCTAGTGAGATAGCTATCACTGGAGCAGGACGGCTTCCCTGCAGACTGATTATCCATGCTGTTGGGCCTCGGTGGGAGGCAATGGATTCACTGAGATGTATTGATAAATTGCAAAGGGTTATTGCCAGAATTCTGCAGTATGTGAACTATGAAAATACAAGCATTACGACAGTTGCAATTCCAGCCCTGAGCTCTGGAATTTTCCAGTTTCCTCTGGATTTGTGTACGCAGACTATTTTACAAACTATTCAGTGGTATCTTCAAGGGATGCAATTGGTTAGTAATTTGAAAGAAATTCACTTGGTAAGCAACGAGGACCCTACTGTGGCTGCCTTGAAAGCTGCTTCAGAAGTCTTCCTAGGGGAGAATGAGCTGGGCCCCTGGATGAGTCAAGAAACCACTCCTCCTGTCAGTATTCACACAATGCAGGGGCTGACCCTACAGATTATCCAGGGCCACATTGAACAGCAGACGGTAAGTCTTTCTGTTCTCTTCCACTGCCAAAGGGGACCCTTGAATTGTTAATTAACTATTAAGAGGTTTTATAGTATATACCTTGCAACACTGTGTAGAAAGCACCTTACTGGGTTAAGAGTGTAGACTTCAGCTACTCAGGAGCCCCAGGCAGGAAGATCACAAGTTTGAGGCCACCCTGGGCAACTTAGTGGAACCCTGTCTCAAAATTTAAAAAAATAATGACAATGGAAAGGGTTGGGAATGTAGCTCAGGATGACGTCCTTTGTTCAATTTCCACTGCCATAAAAAGAATGAACTTCAGGACCACACCATCTGGATACCAGCTTTGCCATTTACAAACTGAGAAATCTCAAACAAACTACTTTACTTTTTAGTTTTCCTCATCTGTAAAATGAGGCTAATGGTAGCACATATCTTAAAGCTGGAATCAATACCTATAAAATGCTTAGAACAGTGCTTGGCACATTATTATTGCTATTGCTATTGTTCTTAGGGACTATGAAGAAATAGAACAACTTTTGATCCCAAGGAACTTAAAATCTACTATATTCTTTTTTTAATCTAACAAGCTCTTTACTTGAAAAATCTCACTGAGGAAACAAATCATATCAACATTTCTGAAGCAACCTATCAATAGTAACAAAAATAATATTTAAGACCATGTAAATTTGTGACACCAGTAGAGTATAGGACCAAGAAAAACTGTTTCAAGAGACTTGAGTTTGGGGGCCAGGGATTTAGCTCAGTGGTTTCGCTGCCTGCTGTGCAAGCACAAGGACCCGAGTTCAATTCCCAGTACCAAAAAAAAGAAAACAAAACAAGAGATGAGTTTTGAATCTGATCTCCAGTTGTGATGCGCATGAACTGGCAGGGGGAAAGCTTTCTGGGTAGTTAGTGACTTGAGCAGAGAGGAGGAATTGACAGATAGGGAATAATGGATTGGCTAGAGTCATAGACACAGGTGGAGCTGGAAGACCTGTTCTGTGTGTAGAGCGCTATGCCTGGGGCTATGGAGAATACAAAGGGTAGCTTAGCCTTTAGCTGAGGCTCTTTGCACAGAAAGGCCAGGACCTTGGGAGGGAGGGAGGGAGGGAAGGAGGGAGGGAGGTGAGGCTAACAGCAAACCCAGGCATTTCTGGGCTAAGGCAGCTCCCCTGTCAGGCAGAGAGCACCTAGGAGGTTTGCTGTCTCCTTAGCCCTGGGGCCTGGTGTAGGCAAGTGTATGAGTCTAGGTGTTCTAGGTGTTAGATTAATGATGAATAAGTGGAAGGGGAAGCAGGAAGCAGGAAATGGGGACTGCAACAGCTGGAGAGAAGAAACATAAGGTTGTATTCTTTTCCTCCCTAGATCAGTGATACCTTGTAGGGCCATAATCAAATAGACTTAACCAACAGTTAAATTACCACTTAGAACCTACAAGATAGTTAGAAGAATGAGGAGACCCCATGAGACAAAATATTTGAGCAGTCATTAAAGCCAACTTAAAATTAAAGTGGAAACATCGTAGTTAAATAACTTGTTCATTTAATTAAAATGTCATTGCATTTATTTATTTCTAGCAGCATTAGAAAATTTATACTTTTTAAAGACTGCCATTGTCCTCAAATGACAATTTCTGATTGCACTTTCAAAGTGAAATATTCACTGGGCATGGTGTGCATGCCTGTAATCCCAGTACTTGGGAGGCTGAGGCAGGAAAATTGCTGTGAGTTTGAGGACAGCCTGGGCTACATAATGAGTTCAAGGCCAGCCTGAACTACATAGGGAGACCTTGTCTCAAAAAAAACAAAACAAACAAACAAAGTGAAACATTCACTAACATCCATAGAAGCACTTAAGTTACCCCAAGGGAACCAAATCCATTGGGATAATTAGTGGGATTTGGGCACAGGGGAAGGAAAGACACAACCCCTTTAGCACAGCTCTGTGAGCTAAGAGATAATGTTACTTAAAGTGCAGTGCCTTGGAAGGCTGAGGCAGGAGGACCGCCATGAGTTTGAGGCCAGCCTGGGCTACATAGTGAGTTTAAGGCCAGCCTGAACTAATAGCAAGATCCTGTCTTAAAAAACCAAAAAAACCCAAACAAAAATAAAAAACCACAGCCTGCAAACATGTACAGTATAGTCTGTTTCCAAAAAAACAGATAAAGAACTGGTAAAAGTGGTTACCTGTAGCATAGGTGGGTACGTGGATCTGGGGACCCCAGCAAAAGGTAAGCCCACTTTTCATGAAAGATCTTTTGCTCCATTTAGACTTTAGTCAAGTACTATTTATCTTAAAACATACATTAGGTAGTAGAAATTCCCTAAGAAATTTTATTTCCTCTCTGTTTAAAATAAAACAACTTACACAGAAATAGCAAAAAGTGATGGTGGTAGGACAGAGAATTAAGCCATTTATTGGTACAGCTTTAAAAAAATCACAAGGAATGCTCAGAATCTAGAAATATAAGAGGTATAATGCAGCAAAGGGCTCAAAGATGTTTGCAGTAAAAAATATATCATCCATGTATTTATACAATTTCTGAATAGGACAAAGAACATCGTGACCATCAAATGCTCATTCTCTGGCTATAATGGTTTCTAACCATTATTAGATAAGTGTATGTGGAGTTAAGATCTTCAAAAAAGTATTTTCAAATCTCTCTAGGGAAATACTTAAATTAGTGATTTAAGAAAGAGGAACTCAGGATGTAGCTCAGCGGTACAGCGCCTGTCTCGAAAGTGTGAGGTCCTGAGTTCAATACCCAGTACCAAAAAATGAAAGAAAGATAGAGAGAAAGAGAGAGAGAAAGAGAGAAAGAGAAAAAAGAGGAACTTAACAATGAATACTGTGCTTTCTTCCTTTTTCAGACAGATGTGATTGTTAACTCTGTAAACCCATTCGATATTAAAAGCGAACCTGTGTCAAAATCAATTCTACAACAGGCAGGAAATGAAATAGAATGGGAACTTACTGACAGAATACCTAAACTGCTTTCAGTTTCCAAATTTGTACTGGTCACAGAAGGATTTGAATTGTCCTGCCGATATGTATTTCATGTACTGTGGCATTTAACATATCCTAAACATCTGGTAAGTTCAAATAAACTTATTACCTTTACATAGCTGCATGGTCGAACCATTTGGTTAAATTTCCATTGTTCCATTACATTCATGAAATATTGTTTAATGGTGGAGTTTCCATTTTCAAACATGCCTCTAAAAGCATGAAATATTGAATGAATACAGTTGCCACAAGTGCTCTTAAGAAGTTCAGTTTGAAATGTTACCTACCCCTGTCTAAATTGTAAGTGAGAATACTGCAAATGGACCCCAAGACAGCAGGGCCCCCTTAGTCTGTACGCTGGTTGCCCTCATCATACCCAGCACCCTGTGGGCCTTTCCGTAGGTAGGCAGGGGATCAGCCTCTGTATATGTCACTCTGTTTCTTCAATTCCAGCAGGGGCTGGGATTTCCTTGCCTGGACCATTTCAGCGTGATCTATTATCTGTGATCTGTGCCTGCCTATTCCTACAGTGGAATCTGTGCCTACCTATTCCTAAGTGCCTCTTCCAGGCAACTTTCTTTCTGAGACCTATAAAATACAAGTATTAAAGAATAGTGGGAGCTTATTCAAGTATAGGAAAAGAGAAACTTAATCTCTTTCTCTACTTTTGTCTCTCTTTTTTCTGTACCATTCTTCTCCTCTCTTGGCTACAGAGCTCTGCAATCCCAAACTGGTTCTCCAACCATTCTTTCTCTCCCATTTTTCCAAGGTCCTTCTACAGTCAACTTTCCAATAATAGTAATTCAATATGATGTTGAAAAGTTGTAAGAAATGTAAGTCTGCCTAAATACTACCATTTCGCCAAGAGAAATTATATAATAGACCTCAGGGACATTAGATAAATATTGTTTGTTTATTTTAATCTCTCCTTTATTAAAACTCCAAGAGCTCTTTTTGTTGGCTTAGAAGTGGCAGATGAGCAGGATCAAGCTGATAGCTAGCTCACTGGCTTGGTGCCATAGGCAAAACCTACCCATTTGGAGAAATCCTAGTGTCCTTGTGCTGAATAGCACACAGTGGGCCGTTAAATACTTCAGCTTCTTGGCTCTTTTGTTGCTCATCATCTAACTGTATATTTGTAGTGGGTTCCCAATGATTGACACCTTTCCTGCCCTCTGAGAAGATAGGAATGTGACCACAGGTGGAGGCCGGTGTTGTAAAATGCAAACAGAATCAAGGGATAAGTGAAGGCTTATTTCTGATTCAAAAGCTGATCTTAAATTTGTATTTCTCTTACAGCTATTGAAAAATGCAGTAAAGGAATGTTTGGAAAAATGCCTTGAGCTAAATAAAACTTCCATTTCCTTTCCTGCCCTTGGGACTGGAAGCATTGGTATAAAGAAGAATACAGTAGCAGAGATCATGTTTGATGAAGTTTTAACATTTGCCAAGTACCATTTGAACGAAAAACTAACTGTGAAGTTTGTGATCTTTCCAGAGGATCTGGGGACATATAAGGTGAGTTAATACCTTAGAATGTCTTATAGTCTTTTCATTCATTGAACATCTGTTTAGTATCTTCAGTGGAAGACACAGGGCTAGGTGCTATGCAGTGTGGTGATGCTCTAACTTCAGAAAATTTAATTTCTCTATATTGCCTACCTCTGATCTAGTAGCAGATGTCATTGCAAAAGCCATGTCTACCCCACTACTTAGTGTCTCCTTTTTCCTTTGCTGGCATTAGTTTTCCTTCTGCCTCTTAAAGGTAAACAGTGTCCTGGCTTCTGGGTGGGGTCCTTTCCCCCTCTCTTCCCTTCCTCCACGAATGCAGTGTTCCTTCAACTTCTAAACCTCTGTAAACTCCTGTTTTCTGAGCCAACTCCAGACCGACATCCCCAAACATCCCTCATTTCTCCTTGAATCTCTGTTATCTCAAATCCAGTGTATTTAAACGAAATTCTTTGTCTTTTTCTCTCCAGTGAATCACTTTTTCCTCCAAACTTCCAATCAGCCTTGGCTTTGTCTCTTCTGGTTGTGTGAACTTGGGCTGGTTAGTTTCTACCTGTGCCTCAGTTTCCTCATCTTTAATTTTGGGGGTTTTTAAGACAAGGTCTCTCTACATAGTTCAGGCTGGCCTTGAATTCACAGTGATCCTCCTGCCTCAGCCTCCCAAGTGCTGGGATTATAGTGATGTGTCTCCGTGCCCGACCAGGTTCCTCCTCTTTAAAAGGGAATAATAACTAACATTTTGGGGGGCTGTTATGAAGATTAAATGAGTTAATACATGGAAAACACTGAGAACATTGTCTGACGCATGGTAGTCTCTCCATGTAGGTTAGCAGTTATATCATCTTCAGTGAGCTATGGTTCACTGAGGGCTGAGGTATTAAAATAAATGACTTGTTGGGCCAGGGATTTAGCTCAGTGGTGCTGCTGCCTGCCTCGAAAGCACAAGGTCCAGTGTTTGATCCCTGGTACCAAAAATAAATAAATAAATAAATAACTTGTTTATCTTTTCTTAACTAAGATTATAAATTTATTAATAGCAGGGGTGTTTGTGGTTATTGTTGTAACCCCAGTATTTCTCTCGAATTCCATCTATTCTTTATTAGCTTGCTTGTAGGTGATCTCAGGGGGAAGTCAGTTTTGGTCTAACACAGAACAGGGACCTGTGTGTAGAGGAGTGTGTCTTGTGTGACTGAATGTCAAGGTCTGTGTCCAGCTTCTTTAGTTTTCATTTCATCTCTGCCTTTTGCTTTAGTGGCCAGATCAAGCTGAGTTTCTAACTGTTAATAGTCATTAAAATTAGTATATTTTGCTTTACTGTTCTGCCTTTAAAGTTCCAACCATTTTTTTATTGTTTTATTTGTGTTTAGCTGGCTTTTTTTTTTTTTTTTTTGGTTCCAGGGATTGAACTCAGGACCTTGTGCTTGTGAGGCAGGCTGCGGAACCACTGAGCTAAATCCCCAGCCCTAGCTGGCATTTTTAAAAAAGACTCTTACTTGTGGGCATGGTGGCACATTCCTGTATTCCTAGCACTCAGGAGGGTGAGGCAAGAGGATTGCTGTGAGTTCAAGGCCAGCCTGAACTACGGCCCTGGAGAGAGACACAGACAGACTGAGAGGGACAGAGAGAGACAGAGACAGAGACAGAAAGAAAAAACTAATGATGTGAAGAAAAAATGGAAATGAACATGATATAACGGCTTTGTAGGTATTCCAGACATACATTTTGGATTCTGCCAGTATCAATGAGATTTCCCAGATGGGTGTTGGTGTACAAGGGGCCTTACTCAGTGCCTGGCAGAGAATGGTTTTGAACCTTCGTTCCCTGACTGCTGCTCTCCCCACCTTCTGGCCAGTTCCATGTTTGTATAAGTCATTATTCCTCTCCTTCCAAGGAATTGAATGCATACTTGTTCCAGGTTGCTCTTTCCTAGACCAAGAGTAAAGTTTCTGGTTCCTTCTAGTTTGCAACCAGATGAGGAGGTTTGAGGGATTTGCTCATTTCCATGCCTGTTTGTAAGCCGTCAGTGCAGCATCACTGCAGATGGGTTTGGAAGAGATGTTCTTGGTGGATTCTCACTGCTCCAGCAACCGCTGTGCTCTCTCAGCTCACTGGCAGTGTGGTGGTGAACGCCCCAATGACGTAGCTCACCTTCTTGGCACAGTGAACCATCACGTCCTTCACGTGAAGTTCACCAGGTCCCCCAGGCAGAGCACTGTCACTGAGCCCAGAGAGTACCCTGAGCTTGTCCCTGAACCGTGTGCAAAGCATCATATCCTCACAGGTGGAATTAGCCACTTCTAGGATAAAAGTTTCATTCTCTCCAATGTACAAACAGAAATGTGCACTGCAGTTCAAGAAAAGTGGAAAGATCAAACAGGCTCAGTGCTCCCCTAAGGGATCATAATAAAAATAGCCACCTTGCATGGGGTACTGCACTGCCAGGCACTGTGCTAAGCAGAAGCTGTCTCATTCCATTCTCCCTGCAATCCTGCGTTGAAGCCACTGGTGACATCTCCATTTTACAAACAGGAAAACACAATCCAGTGGTTAGCATGTGCGCAGCTAGTTGGGGGCTAAACCAAGACTCCAGTCTCAGTCTGTTTCCCTAAATGCCTACGTTCTTCTGAATCACTAACCAAAAACATGGAAAAAATACCCTAAGAAATACATTTTTCTGTTGTGTAACTCAAGAAGATTATCTTACCCAGTGATTTATATTATATAGTGAACATTGATCATTCCTTCAGGGTTTTCCAACATTAACACTGTATTTTATCCACATGGAGATATGAGTGAGTGTGTGTACATATGTGTACACCTCTGCCTTTCTGATAAGCATGTCTCTTCTTCCTAAATAAGTCTTACAGTGAGAGATGTGTGTACAGAAAGATCAGAGAGTGACTTGCACAGGTCCTCACGGTGGTGTTACTTTGGCAGAGTTCCTACATTCCAGAAAATAGATTTGTCAGACAACCAGAGTTCACCTGCCTTGGGAAGATCAACCCACGTTCAACTCACAATTAAGTGATATTTATATTCAGACACACATACACACACACACACACACACATATATCCCCCGCACGGGGATCGAACTCAGGACCTTGCACTTTCGAGGCAGGCACTGTGCCACTGAGCTAAATCCCCGGCCCAAGACACTCATATTTTCCAATTCAGAAGTAAATAAATAATTCCGCACCTGACTGAAAAATTTGTGTTCACCAGTATTTCATGATGTAAGGGTGCTGGCTGGAGCTGAGTATCTGTGAAATGCAATGGGTGGTTATTTAAGTACGTATTGCTTATCTACCTCAGACATGTCACCTCAGAACGAGGGACCCCTCTTTAGAAAGCAGTACTGACATTTTTCAGATCAGGTGTTGGCCACTAGTGGACAGAGATGAAAGACATTATCAGATTCTTGCTGTTTGACTCTACTCTTCCAAGCTCCTTGAAGACCTGCTTGTTATCCACACATTCTTCAGTGTCATTGCTACTGATAAAGTTAGTTATCTTTCCTTCACATGAAAGCCTTGCCTAAATTTTTTCTACCCTTGTAATACATCCTGATGTTTTGTTTTGTTTTGTTTTGTTTTGTTTTGTTTTGTGTTCTGGAGATGGGGTCTCACTATGTCGTTCAGGCTGGCCTTGAACTCATTATGTAGCCCAGGCTGGTCTTAAACTTGTGGCGATCCTCCAGCCCCAGCTTCCCAAATGCTGGGAGTACAGGCATGCGCCACTGTGCCCATACATCCTGACTTTTAAGATGACCTTCTGGATGGGCTGGGGATTTAGCTCAGTGGTTTCGTCACCTGCTGCACAAGCGTAAGGACCTGAGTTCGATCCCCGGTAAAAAAAAAAAAAAAAGATGACCTTCTGGAGAAAGCTAATTTTTATCCATCATGTATGGCAGCTTTTATTAGTATATTTATCAGCAGATAATGTTACCTTGTTTGTTTTATTTCTTGGATGGGAGAGCAGGAAAGTATCCTATCATAACCTCTCTAGATAACAATATGGCAAGATCAAGGGCTTTTTGCTCTGGAAAACGCAGCTGCAAATACAATTTACGAAGAAAATATCTTATAAATTAAGAAACATCATTTTTAAAAGCTGAGATACAAAGCAATTTCTAGTCTTTACTCCAGTAATAACCATCTTTTGAATAAAATAATTACTGCCAATTGTATCAACTTTGAACAAGGAAGACACTTAGTGAGATGGTTCCAGATCATAGAGGAGATGACTTATTTCACATGGACACTATGTTAAGGGGTATGCGTGCAAATATGCACAACTCTTTTTCTATAGACTTTCATATAATAATAATTATAGTTATCGTATATGAATGAATGTAACATACCAGTTACAATTTTAAGTACTTTACAGGAATTAGCTCATATAAGGCAGATCATTTAAGCAATCTACAAAGTATGGTGAGCATATAATATTTAGAAATAAATGTTTATTTTTTAAAATTAAGCTATCTACAAAGTATGGTGAGCATATAATATTTAGAAATGTTTTTTTGTTTTGTTTTGTTTTTATAAATGTTTATTTTTAAAAATTAAGCTATCTACAAAGTATGGTGAGCATATAATATTTAGAAATAAATGTTTATTTTATTAATTACAGGAGTATCTCCCATTATTTGTCTCAATGACATATCCACAGCTTTAATTCAGGCATAACATAATAGTGTCTGAAATAGCTGTTGAATGAAGGAATGAATGGATAATTATATTTTTCCTTGGAACATAGAGTCTTCTTTTTTAAGGCCAGATTCTGGTTTTCTTCCCATTTTCCCTGTAGTTGTTTCCCCTGCATGTTCTAATAGATTGTGGTGGTGCACTTGCTTTTCCCTAGGGCTTTCCTGGAGACTTCTTTAGATTTGTGACAGCGGGAATGGAGACTAACAGAGCAGATGAGGTCAAGGGTGGTATGTGCAGATGGAGAGAGAAAGAGAGATTGATTTTGGTTACAATGGTTATAACCCCTGCTTATGACTCTCTGCTCTGTTATGCTTATTGTAGGCTTTCAGTGCTGAAATGGCAAAGAAATCCAAGATGCTGAGTCTCAACAGTCATAGAGGTGAGTAAGAAGTTCACAGGCCTAGAAGTGGAGCCTCCTACCACAGGCTCATTCCATTTGATCATCTGAACTAATGCAGGAGAGAAGAATAAATAAGCCAAATGGTTCATTGTGCCTCTGCTAGGACACCAACCTCCTGACCATGATTCTGTTCTTGCTCAGTCTCATTTCATGATGTCACCAGAGAGAAACTAAATTGCAGTAGATAATCCATAATGTGGGTAGTTCATTCCTTCACAGATAGGGTCTATACTTTTTCTTCTAATAAAAAATTCTGTCCTCCCAAGCTGGTTAGCTAATCAGACACTGTTCCAAATATCTAAATGGAGTCACTCATTAGTAATTACAGAAAACACATCTCAGTAGTACGAGATACATGGGTTGTTAACTCAAACCTAAGTAATTGCTAGGATCATGATGGAAACTTTTAAGACACAGAGAAGAGGGGTATCGGTTCCACTTGTAGGGATTCTGATTCAGGAAATCTGGTTTATTCTAATGCAGTTTCTGTATGCCCCCTAGTCAGTTGTGTGGTTGAGCTAGATTTAGGATCACTGGGTTAAACCAATCCTGGCTGTTGGGGGCTGGCGAAGGGATAGCTTTGCTTCATAATTTCCTTCCTATAGTGGAGTTTGAGTGGACTGAGGTGGAATCTTCAGTGGCTCAGCAGTGCTGGCAGCAAAGAAGGGGAAACTTTAAGAGTTCTGGCCTAGGACTGTGTCTCTTATGAGCCTGTCTGTAAAGTGATGATAATAATAGTATTGTGAGGATAATTGGAGATTATGTATGTAAAGATATTCTATAAATTACAAAACATTAAACAAACACCAAGGCACAGATAATGAATGAGAATATGGACAAACTCCCCAGGAGTTTGAGGAGAGAGAGATTACTTTTGACAGAAAGGGAGTCAAGAATGGCTTCATAGACGAGAACAATTCTAAGTTGGGCTTTGAGGATAGCAGGATTTCTGGTGGCCAGCGGTATGCGTTTGTGGGGGCAGCACCCAAGGTAAAAAAAAATCCACTGAAGCAAACAAATGCAGGACATTTCTGGGGAACATTAAGGAATACAGAGTGGCTAGGTAAGAGGGGGAGTTTTGGGTGAACATACAGACACAGAGAAAAGGAACATACAAAGGTCTGCATGTCATTAATCTGAATCATAGGGCAAGCCTCATTATGTATAATAGTGATTCTTGAGGACATCTGTAAAAGAATTAGCATAGGACAGTAATTGACGTAATAATTGATGATGATCTCAAATATCAAGGAAAGGTTAAACTAGTTAAGAAGGCAGAGAAGGATGTTTTCATTGGAAATATTTAGGTAATAAATAGTTAAAATTAGGCCCAATGTTGTGGCACACAGCTGTGATCCCAGCACTTGGGAGGCTGAAGCCCACCTGGGCTACATAGTGAGACCCTGTCTAAACCAACAAATAAATAGTTAAAATTAAATGTGTTTTGGTGCCAGAAGAGCATCCTTTAGTGATCTGAACAATTTCTCTAGAAGAACAATTCTTCTTTTAATAATGACGGATTAATTAAGTACCACTATGCGTTATTTTTATTTTCTCCCAAAAGTAAGTATAAGCTCCCTGGAATAACAAGGGTTGATTTTTGTTTTTTCTTTTGGTACCGGGGATCAAACTTGGGACCTTGCGCTTGCAAGGCAGGCAGCAGAACCACTGAGCTAAATCCCCAGCCCTAGTGTTTAAAATCCAAAAAAGTATGCCTGTAATTAAAATATCCCTGCCACTTTTTACTCTTGTGTAAAACACTGGCTTTTATTTTCACTCAGAGGAAGTTCTGTCTAGTTCTGTCTTAGTGCTTTTTCATAGCTCCTGGAGCCACCTAATTACCAGGAGAAAGTTGCTGATTACCCTATTGTCCCAGCATCACTACTGGGAGGCAGAACTCTGTAAACACTGGAATCAGATGCCCACACCTCCTAGCTTTGTGGCCACCACTAATTTGTCCTATACACACGGGCAAGTTATTTAATGACTCTGAGTCTTAACCAATTCTTCTCATTTGTAAGATAGTAGTAATAGTACTTACAGAGTTTAAATAATACTTGTAGGCCCTTGGAATAATGCCTACAACAAAGTCAGTGCTCAACTTACTTTTCTTCCTTGAAATATGTGTCTGAGATTATGTTTCTGAGATTCATCCATGTAAAGCTCTTTTCTTTTCACTACTATTGTACTCCATCATTGAAGGACAGTAATTACTCCAGTTGTGCTGTTGCTGATCAGAATGAAAAGGGCTGGGAGTTTAGCTCAGTGGTGCCTCACCTGCCTGGCAAGTGCAAGGTCCTGAGTTCAATTCCTGGTAGCAGAAAAAAAAGAATGTGAACATTCTTGTATTCTTCTGATACAAGTGCAAAAGTTTCTTTAAATAATATAGTGATTGTTCCAGTTTTATATCTGTTGTGAATATAGGAGTTTCAGTTACTCTGCATCCTTCCCATATTATTACACGTAGGAATTTTTGCCATCCTAGTGGGTGATTTTTTTATTTATCTGATTGCTAATAAAGATAAGCCCCTTGTCGTATAACTATGATCAATTTGTGTTTCCTTCTCTGCGAAAGGAAAGACTGGCAACTGGTGACTGGTTTCTTTCTTTTCTTAACAATTCAAGGCAATTCTTTACATGTCCTAGGTATTGCATCACTTATTGATTCCCCCTCAACTAGTCCATTGTCCTTTTTTTTGCAAATCTCAGATTCAAATCCATTACAATTTCAGTTTCGGAGTTTCATCAGTGATTCTCTCCTCTACTTCTTGTGGAAGGTAGATCTGGATGGCTAAAAGGAGGTCCCCTGTCCTTTTCTGCTGGGATATAAGCATCAAATGCTTGTTGTGGAAATGGTGAAGGGTGCTTCCCAGCTCCACCCTTAAACCGCAGGAGGTCTGTATGTCCTGTCACACACAGATAAGGTATAGTAAGGAATCCTGTTTAGTGCAATTATAGATATTTCTTTCTTTCAGTATAGTTTGCTAATTTTCTAACTTCCCAATGATAAAAGTGTTATTTATATAATCAGAAATTCATGATTGGTTTAAAAAAATTTTTTACTCGTTAAGGTCTTTGGCTTTCAGAGATGTTTAACTTTAAACATAGTAGTAGCAATAGGTTAAGGAAAATCACATTCCCAGTTTACAAGGTAAACACATCTGTGAATTGACAAATGCCACACAACAGAGGCCAAATATGATAAAACCAACCCCTTCACAAGCTAAATTCTGTGTTCCCAAGGAGGCTATAAATTATACATGTAGACTGCCTTTATATCCAATGCCTCTTTTAGAGATAGGTATTTAGAGACTGGGTGTTTTTTTTTAGAGATAGGTATTTAATTGGAGCTGCTACTGTTGACAATGATGGCAGTATCCTTGAGTGCTTTGTTCTGCATCATTTAAAATCTACCAACATCCAGACACAGTGCTGCATGACTGTAACCATAGCACTCTGGGAGGCTGAAGCAGGAGGATCACAAGTTCAAGCCCAGCCTGGGGAACTTAGTGACTCAGCAAAACCCTGTCTCAATAAATAAAAAAGGCTGGGGGTGTAGCTCAGTGTGAAGGGCCTAGGTTCAACCCCTAGTCCTGCAAACAAACAAACCAACCCTAGCCTGCCATGGTTGCTTATAATAATTGTTTTAGTCCCCCACCAGTGGACCAGAGAAGACCAAAGAGAAAATGGGCTTAAAGATGGATCCCCTGGAGTCAATCTTATGGGATTCAACCTGGAAGAGATGCATGAGGCTGAAGCATGGATCCAAAAGATCCTGACCTCCCAGGACCACCACATCATTGAGAATAATCACATTCTGTACCTTGGGAAAAAGGAACATGAATTTTTGTCTGACCTCCAAACAACCACAAGTGTCTGCATCTCAGAAGTTATCAGCCTGGAAAAGGCAAAATTGGAGATTAAAGGAGCTCAGACTGACTGCATTGAGGTGGTTCTGAAGATTGAACGTATGCTGTGTGAAGTTCAGGAGGAAATTGTAAGAAAAAAGGAGCAAGGTTTTAAGAACTTGTCAGGTGCGTAGCTTCTGGTTAACTTAGGAAGTCAGCTCTCCCCACTGTGCTTCTTTGGGTGTGAGTGTGCTTGTACCTGTGTGGATAAGAGATAGACTGGGAGAGGAAAGAGCAAGCCATTCTACTTCCATGTTAGGTCATAAGCTTTGTGAGCCATTTTTAGGCTCTCTTTCTATCATCTGAGTTATTTATTAACAATAAAACACACACAGAGGGAGGGGGAGGAGGGGGAGGGGAGGGGAAAGGTGGGGAGAGAGGAACACCTGGGTTGCCTTAGAGGCTATTATATGGAAAGCCTAGAGTAAAGCCTAAGCCCAAGCCATGGGGGGAAAGTACACCCCTAATTCTGCAAAGTGAGCATTCAAATATAGACACATTCCGCTTGATTATTTCTTTCATCGAGTTTTATTATATTTATTTGAGGCATCAATAGGAGACCCAAGTAAAATTTCTTACTTTGAGCCTTGTCATCAACAAAAGTATTCATTGGTACTGTAGGGTACACTTAAGTATCTCCTGTTCATTTGTGGCTAGATTCATCAGGATAACCAGAAATTTGGGTTCTGGAAGATCTTTGCAGCAGAGCCCTAGAGCCAACCAGGAAATTATACCATTTAAAATGCCATCTTGGGAAACAGGATTATTTCACTCATTCAACTATTGTGTACTGTACCCATGATATGTGCCAAGCATTGTGCTAGGTAATAGGGATAAACAAGGTGGACATTGTCTTTGTTCAAATTCTAATTGGGAAAACTAACAGGCAAGCAAGCAGGTGAGTTATGATGGTGGAAATTGAAAGCAATCTGGAAGCATTGAAGAGAAGCACCTCACCCAGAACTGGGAGGTCAGAGGAAGGCTTCTCACAGGAGGTTCCCTAAACAGAGAACTGAGTAATAAATAGGGTAATAAGTAGTAATAAGTAATAAGTCTCTAGAAATAAGGTTATTAGCAGAGCCTAGGTTATATAAGACCTTATAAACTTCATGAAAGCACTCATAGTCTTCCTAAGCAAATGAAAAACCATTGAGGATTTTAAGAAAAGATCAAATGTGTTTAGTAAGTTCTCTGGTTGTAATGGATTTAGAATGGAGTTAGAAGAGGTTCAAAAACTCAGATGCAGCAGGGGAAGGGTGAAAAATAAGAACCAAGAGAGATTATGTAAAGGTGCAAATTTCTAATGATGAATGTCATTATATTGTATACCTAAAATGTACCAATGATTAGAATGAATAATTGATAATGCAAAATAGGAAGAAAAGGTCCAAAGGGGAAGGGGTAGTGGGAGGGGCAGGGGAAAGGAAAGAAGGGAAAGGAAAAATGATGAGAAAGGGAAACAATGGAGACAAAGTCTTTGTAAATAGGGAAGGGTGGAGGGGGTGAAGGGAAGGCTAGGAATGGGGAAAAAATAAGAAACAAGATGCATCATGTAAAAGTACAAGATCCCAATGAGAAATGTAAAGGTGTTGTATACCTAAAATGTACCAATAAAAGAAGTTAAAAAAAACAACTCAGATGCAGAATTTCATAGGACCTTTTATTTTCATGTGTCTGTAAAAATAAGTCAGGAATGCTGGGTGTGGTGGTACATACCTGTAGTCCCAGCACTCAGGAGGCTGAGGCAGGAGGATTTCCAGGAGTTTGAGGCCAGCCTGGGATACACAGTGAGTTCAAAGCCAGGCTAAACTACATAGTGAGACCCTGTCTCCAAAAAAAAAAAAAAAAAGGTCTGGAAGAAATGATCAAAGTGAGTGCAAGTTTGCAATACATGTTGTGTTCACATTTCACAGAAAACTCAGTGACTAAAAAATGGATAAAAATATTATACAAGCATGACAACCAAGATTATGATTTCAACTTAGTTTCTGAAAGATAATAAATGTAGTTATTTAAACTGACACTGGTTTTAGTTCAGGAGAACAGAAGACAAAGAAACACTGATCTATAAAGCTTGTGGCATTACTTTAACTGCATTCATAAGGTTGACCCACTATTTCAGCAACTGGCAATTAGAGTGAAGGTAAGTCCTTTGTTCCACTGCAAGATGGCATTTTTGGGGTAAAGGGGTATCTGGGATTGAACTTGGGACCTTGCACTTGTGAGGGAGGCGCCGGAACCACTGAGCTAAGTCACAGGCCCTAAGATGACATTTTTGCTGGGGATGTAGTTCAGTGGTAGAGCACTTATCTAGCATGTGCAAAGTCCTAGATTTGATCCCTAGCACTGAAAAAAAATAGCATTTTTGAGTAAGCATTTAGCAAGTACATTATTTCACAGCAGTGTTTCAGAGGTTCATGCAAACTGACTCATTTAAATTTAGAGTATTAACAAAATGGATAATTTTGAAATGCTGTTAATATAGGGAACGTCAAATATTCATCAGAACAATAAAAGTTCAAGAAAAATAGAAGTTAGGTCTCACCCTCTTTTATGCTATTCTTTTTTTATCCTTCTTGGTGAGCACCACTGACCGCAGAAGTTCGTGGACCTTTTGGTCCCCAGTGCCCACTCCAGGGCCTGGCATGTAGAAAGAACTTGATAAATGTTTGTTGAACTCAAGTAAACTTAACTCTAATATTATACCTTATAAATGTGAACTCTTGGTCTCCAAATTTAATTTATAGTCTTCCTGTGAAGTTTTCTGGCTTTGGTGCTCCTCTGCTATGGGAGTTTTCTCCTTCTTGCTTTCTTCTATTTACAACTCAGACCTTTAGAGAAGGGGCCTTTTGTGGTTAAATTGAGCCCTTTCAATTAGATAATGTACTGGGGATGGGGTCATTTTAGTGTATTTGGTTTTAAGCTAAATTAAAAACAAACTGAAGCAAGCTTTTTTGGGGGGATTTCTATTTCTCCACCTGTATCTGTCCAGTAAAAAACTTGCTTGAACAAAACCAGGTCATCCACTGAATTTTATAAAGGAGAGAAGGAAGGAAGGAAAGAATAGGGGAAAGGAAGGAAGGGGAAAGGAAGGAAAGAAGGCCACCATAGATTCTTAGTCTCCGAAATTTGTTCCTCTTGCTTGGGTCTTACATGAATGATACATGTTCCTAGTACTGTACTTTGCCTTGTCTCTGTACAGAAAGCACTGATGAAAGCCAATTTTATGATTTTAGGTCTTCACTTAGGCTTTGAGGTATTGGGCAAGTTACTTACTTTCTCTGAATTTCAATTTTGTTATTTATGAAATTGGGTCAACTATATCAGTGGTGGTGCTTTGATGATCAAATGAAGTATAAATGTGAACTCTGAAAGTTTTACCATATCATATAAATGTCCTATTGTTTTCCATCATTCCTTCATGTTTTCTTATACCTGTCTCTTTTTGGCTGAGAGTCATCCTGGTGAGAAAGAACAAACATTTCCTGTAACACAATCATATTGCCATTAGAGCACTTGTTGTAGTGCAAGGATTATACACAATGCTTTTTTTCTCTTATCCCCCCAGCCTCATGATCAAGATCATCCGTGGACAAATGGTCTGTCCTCCAATTTACCCTGTGACTTCTGGTTGTACTGTAGCTCTCCTTGCAAGTCTTGAACAGCATGAGGCATATACTTTAAAATGGCCAACTCTTTCTCCAAATTTCTAGAAACTGTTTTCTTTTAAAACTTCTTTCTGTTTACAGAGCATTGAGACAAAAGTTTTGTGTTACTCATTTTTAGGACAATGGACTGATCAGCAAGGAAAACCCCAAGATGAAGTGAAGGAAGTGAAGATCCTGTTTCTGCGATTCCCAGTGCTTTTAACACAAGAACTTGAGGAGCAAAAGAAACAGTTTGAAAAACATGGTTTGCTGGTTATAAAGGTATACCTAATTATGGAGGGGACTGGCTCGTCTTGCTACTAATTAACTTGGTTCTGGAGCCAAAAGACACCTGCAAATGACTCTAAGCTAGCTGCCCAGTGACCTGGGATCCTACGGGGAAGTCAAGGAAGGGAAAGAAGGGCAGGAGCAGAGTTGGAATCAGGAAGAAGAAATCACGTTAGGACATAGAGAAGCCAGATTTAAGATCCGGAAACCAGTCATCTGCTCACGTTTGAGTAATACAAAAGAAAATGAAATAGTGTTTATCACAGTGTATTGTAATTGGTTACCTATTTTTACTTCTTACTAAACCATGAGCTTTAATCACTTAACCTATTACCATCACTTGGGCCAGTGTCATTTCAACCAGTCAATTCTTGTTTGTAAGAGATACACTTGTATGTCTGTTTATTTGTTTTAAATCGACTATCTTTTGCATATTTTTTATTTAGAATGTTGTGTTCATCTTTGGTATTTGTTTCTAGTGAAATTTAATAACAAGTTCTGGTTATCTTCTTTTACTAATTCGTGTTTATTTTATTTGTGAAAAATAACCTATAATTTTGTGCTACAATCTATAAAAACTCATAATGTAAGTACATTAGATATAATTTCTATTCTTCTCCAGAACTCAGTGAAATTCTTTAACAATATAAAATGGACATGTTTGGAACACTGAGACTGATAGGAAGGAAGTGCTAAAAGATCTGCAAAAGAAAAAACTGAAAAAAGAGAGAAATGTTAGCATATTAGAGAAGAAAAGTCTGTGTTATGAAATGGAAAGAAAAGACATCTTATTGTCAACTATTCATGATACAGAAATGACAGAACTTGAAAGAAGAAATGAAACTAAAAAAATTCCAACAGTGGTCAATGATTGTAATAATTCTATGGGTGGTGCTGACAGAGTTGACCAACATCTAACAAGCTATCCTATAATCATAAAGCGAGGAAAAATAGTATTATAAAGTATTATGCACCTTCTGGACTAAACAATATAGAACTCATTTGTTATCGATTCCAAACAAGGTTCAGAAAGTCATTTACAATTTAGATTAGGTCTAGTAGACCAAATAATTGAAAAATATGGAATAGCAAAATGCCAACATTTAGTAGGTAGACATTTTATTGAAATTATACCACTCACAGAAAAAAAGGAAGTCAAAACAGCAGTGTAAAATGTGTTGTTCAAAAACAATAATGCAAAAAGAACTTGTAAAGAGACTAGATTCTCCTGTCCAGACTGCAACATTGCATTGTGTATTGGATGTTTTTTAAGATATACTATACACAGAAAAATTATTGAATAAAATTGACATTTGTATATTTTGTTATATTATTTTATAAAAATTAACAAAAAATACACAATTTTTGCTCACCTTGTATTTATTTATTTTTTGGTACCAGGGATTGAACTTGAGACCTTGTACTTGCAAGGCAGGCGGTGGAACCACTGAGCTAAATCCGCGGCCCACATCTTGTATTTAAATAATTGGATCACTAAGTTGTTAAGAGAGCAGACACTATTGCTGACCATTTCATTGTTAGTGCTTGGTACATCATGATTGCTCAGTGAATTTTAATTAAATGAATCTATTGAAGAAACAGCAGAGAATTCTGAAGAGATAGAAGTCAAACAATGAGAAGATTAGGGGCAGGAGAGAATCTTATGCAACTTTATATGAAAAACAAATTATATGTAAAGTAGTAAGCATAGAAGCACCCTTATTTTTTAAGCAGTAAAAGAGGCAGTTTAAATCACTGTTTTCCAGTCTCTTTTTGAGTTTTTCTTTTCCTTGGGTTATAGGTGGAGAAGATAGAAAACATGGTTCTTACGGCTGCCTTCCAAAGAAAGAAGAAAATGATGGAAGGGAGAACACACAGGGAGCCTGTGAGCCGCAGGCTGTTTCAGCAAGTCCCACGTCAGTTCTGCAACGCGGTATGCAGAGTCGGTTTCCAGAGATTGTACTCTGTGCCCTGCGGTAGGTGTCAGCCCCTCATCCTCAGGGCTACTCGTGTGGGAATTGGCAAGCAGACATCAGCAGATGGCTCACCAGTAAAAGCATTCATCCTGTGGGGAGGGGAATCATTTGCCACTGGGATTTAGAGGTAAAGTTTTTTGGAAAGGGTTGTATTTTAGACTTTTCCTTCACATCTGTTGTTGATGATGGATTTTACGTTGATGAAGGTATAAGCGGTAGGCTCTACAGTTCACTATTATTTGTTTTTTCCTCATTTCTGTTTCTGTGTCTTATCAGAAGAGAGCACCTTGGGGCTTTTTTTTTTTTTTTTTTTGGCTTACTAATCTCAAAATTATTGTCAACACTACTGAGCTATCCTCAGCCCTGAATTAAAAGGACATTTCCCAAAATTTAAGAAAATTGGTCTTTTCTTTTTTACCCTCTATGTCTTGTAGCCTACTAGTGAGTGAATTAGATATGGTAGGTGAAGCAAGTAACATCTTAAGATTCTTCTCAACCGGTGGAGTTTTAGGCGTAGCTTCCATGTCTCTCTTCAATTATATAAAATTAATGAGACATTTAATTGCCATATGGTACCCTTTCCTCTTCAGTCATCATTGAAAAATTCTGGCTTTAGATCTCTCCTGAGGAGGCTAAGAACTTTAGCAATAATCACAGGGGAACCTAGCAGTGCAGCTTCATTTCACCCGATCCATTAAATAGTGGCTCTTGATCTTTATCTTTCAAACATGCAGTATGACCTTTGCTATGGAGTCAGTTCTAACAGTCTTGGTTTCTAGAAAGCAACAGGTCTGGATTCATCTTTTCTTTGTCCCAGAGAGAACATAGTCATTACCAGGGGTAAAAATTGAACATAGACTACTCTCGAGAGGTAAAAATAAATGAATTACCATTACAAAGAAATCTGAGTGCAACCAAAGATAGGATGATCAGTATGTTCCTTTCATTGCCAAAGTCTTAAATCTACAACTTTCATTTGCTTCTTCATTAGCTTCTGTAGTTATTTTCACTAAGATCATCAGTATCTTCCTGTTTTCTTAATCAGGTGAGTACCCGCTTTTTAGTCCTGTGCCCAACATTGCTAATTTTCTACCTAACATCTATACACATCTTTCCTCCCAGAACATCTATGATATACACCACCCTCCCAAAGAAGACAGTCCCAATGTCTTATCTAGGCTCATCATCAGCCTCAAGTCTAGGCAGTTCTCTCTAAAAGGTTAAAGGCGGGCTGGGGATTTAGCTCAGTGGTTTCGCTGCCTGCTGTGCAAGCGCGAGGACCCGAGCTCGATCCCCGGTACCAACAAAAAAAAAAAAGGATTAAAGGCAAGGAATTACCCCCAAATACTCATTAGATAATGATATCAGAAGGAACAAGAAATGTGCAGTGAAAATTTCCATTTTGAAAGGGAAGAGAGGGTATGGTAGTGCATGCCTTTAAATCCTAACATTCTGGGAGGCCAAGGCATGAGGATCGAAAATTCAAGCCCAGCCTGGGCAAATTGGCAAGACCCTGCCTCAAAAATAGGGTTGGGGATGTAGCTCAGTGCAAAGGCCTTAAATTCAATCCTAAGTACCACAAACACACATGCAATAGTCACTGGCCCACATTACTTATCATGTGTGACTAGTCAAGAGTAGTAAGGACTCCTATTCTGGGAGAGGAGTAAAACCTTTATATTTGCATTCTGGAAGAATATTCCTTATGTGTTGTAGGCCCACTATCTACCAGGGGACCATGGATTGCATCCCAGGCTATCACATGCTCAGGCTGGTACAGCCAGGTTTGTGATTTCTTCATCAATATGGTTCCTTTAAAAACTCAGGGGCGGGGACTTAGCTCAGTGGTTCCGCCACCTCACAAGAGCAAGGTCCCAAGTTCGATCCCTGGTACAAAATAAAAATCCCAAAAAACCGCAGGCATGAGGCCTACTCACTTCTGGTCAACTTTACATCCTTAAACTCAGCCAAAGATCTTGTTTCCATATAGCCTTTAAGCCTCAAGAATTTCATCTTTTTCCTTTGGGCCTCTTTGCTCTTGCCTACCTGCAAACTCCCTTAGCTTAACAGCAATTGCTTAGGAGCAATTCAGATAGTACATTTCATGGGGAGACACTACCTGTAAAGTCACCTGTGCCAAGGGACTCATCTCTGTGGCATGGAGAGAACTCAGAACTGATGGTGCTAAGCAAGCCTCAGAGATGCTAATCTCACTGCCATAGATGCTATTGTCATGTGGAGTACAAATCTCCTGGCTTTTTCAGACTTGCAGTATTCTAAATAATAGGACTTTCAGTTAATTTAGATGGCCAGCCACAGGCAAGGGGCTTCAGTTAGCAAAGCTTGCCTCCTTCCTTTCTTTTTCTCTCTTTCTTTCTTTCATTTATTCTATGCTTGCCTTCTAGCCAGTTCTATCCTGAGTTCATCTCTTTTTTTTTTTTTTTTTGGTACCGGGGATCGAACTTGGTTCCTTGCACTTGCGAGGCAGGTGGCAGAACCACTGAGCGAAATCCCCGGCCCCTGAGTTCATCTCTTGCTTGTAGGATTTCAGTGAATGAAGCAAGGAGTCTACACACTTGCAATTCCATTATTGTGCTTATTCATTCATTCCATAATTACTTTTTTAATTTTAAATTTTTATTAGTCATGTTTGCAGTACATAGTGATCACGTTCATTGTGGGGAATTGGTACATGTACACATAGAATTCAATTCTTTTTATTCCCTTTTCTCTCTACCTCCCTGTTTTAAAATATTTTGGCCACCTTCATTTATTTATTTTTTTCAGCATCATTTACTTTATATGTCCTTATCAAGTTAATTATCATAAATACAGATTAACAGCCAGACTAACAGGCCCAAACCATCTAAAACATGTAAGACAATTATACTAAATCAAGGTACACTTTTAGATACATTATCAATGCTAGATTACAGTAACTTTTTTTCTCTTTACCACTGTCTGTCTTTTACATTGCAATTTATTTATTCTCCTATAAGAGAAACCATTTGATTTTTAAACTTGTGTGTGTTCACATAACATTATGGTCTCAATGTGTATCCATTTTCCTACAAGGGGGTTCCTACCAGTGACTCAAGTTTATCTTTCTTTATGCAGAGCAGTTCTCCATTGTGTATAAATACCATGTTTTCTTTATCCATTCATCTGTTGATGAATATATAGGCCACTTCCAATATTTAGCTATTATGAATTGTGCTGCTATAAACACGGGTATGCATACATCACTGTGATATGATGTCTTTTAACTCTGGGGAAGATACCTAGAAAGGAAATAGCTGGGCTAAATAGAACTTATAATTAAAGTTTTATGAAGAATCTCCACACTGATTTCCACAGTGGTTATACTCCCAACAATGAAGAAGTGTTCCTTTTTTCTCCATAGCCTCACCAGCATTTTTATTGGTTGATTTCTTTCTTTTCTTTTTTTTTTTTTGTGGTACCAGGAATCGAACTCAGGACCTTGCACTTGCAAGGCAGGTGTGATGCCACTGAGCTAAATCCCTGGCCCTATTGGTTGATTTCTTGATGATAGCCATTCTTTCTGGAATAAGATGGAATCTCGGTGTTGTTTTAATTTGCGTTTTTCAAGTGGCCAGTAGTGTTGAACATTTTTTTCATGTATTTATTGGCAGTTTGTACTTCTTTATCTAAGAAGTGTCTGTTTATTTCAGATGCCCATTTTTGATTCAGTCTTTAAATTTGGAGGGGGCCTGATTTTTTTAGTTCTTTGGATATACCAGATATTAATCCTTTGAGGTGTAGCTAACAAAAGGTTTTCCCCATTCTGTAGGTTGTCTCTTCACTCTGTTGCTGGTTTCCTTTGCTGTGCAGAAGCTTTTTAATTTGATATGATTTCTTTTGTTGATTCTTGGTATTATTTCTTGCGCAACCAGGGTTGTATTCAGATTGCTTCTCGGCGTTTTGGCTAAGATCAAGTGCAGGTTTGTAGTCAGGAAGTCTTTGCCTATACCTATGCCTTCAAGAGTTGTAGGGCCAGGGATTTAGCTCAGTGGCATCACACCTGCCTTGCAAGTGCAAGGTCCTTAGTTCGATCCCTGGTACCAAAAAAAAAAAAAAAAAAGAGTTGTAGCTTATTGTATCTTCCAGGAGATTAAGTGCTTGTATTTTAATGTTTATATCTTTGATCTACTTTGATTTTAGTTTGTGCATGGTGCAAGATATGAGTCTAGGTTCAGTCTTAGGCATGTGTGTAACCAGTTTTTCCAGCACCATTTCTTAAAGAGGCTATCCTGGCAAAGCATGGTGGTACATGCCTGCAATCCCAGAACTAATGAGGCTGAGGCAGGAGGATCACATCAAGTTCAAGGCCATCCTGGGCTACATTGTGAATTCAAGGCCAGCCTGAACTACATATGGAGACCGTCTCCAAAAACAAGAAAAAAAAATTTTAAAGAAGCTCCAGTGACACTGGTTATTCATGTTTTTTATTGTTCTGTTTAGCTTATGTAGTGTTTTATTAGTGTCTTCTGAAAGCTCCTGGATCATTTTGGTTATTACTTCCATTATCTGTTCTTTTTTTTTTTTTTTTTTTTTTGTCCCGGGGATTGAACTCAGGACCTTGTGCTTTCAAGGCAGGCGAGGCAGGCTCTGGAACCACTGAGCTAAATCCCCGGCCCCATTTTCTGTTAATTATATCTTCTGTGATCCTGCTGAGTACCTCTTTGTTCTGTTTTCTAACCTCCTCCATTACCCTTTCAAGTAATTTGGGTGTGTGTCTTATATTCTGCTCTTTTGTGCCCCTGCATTGGCTTTGGGGGAGCTGGGAATTTGGGGAAGTATTTTGTTGCCTTGACTTCTCATGTTTCTATTGCCTGTTTGTTTTGGTTTGCTTTTTATGCTGAGGTTTGTGGATGTTTATAATGTAAAGACATTGCGGCTATTATAAAGATCTCTTTAGTTGCTTTTCTGTGATGTACTTTGGGCACAGCTAACTATAATCCTTTGTGTCAGCCCCAACATCTGACACCTTGGTTAATTTGGGAAGGGAGGTTGCAGTGTAATTAGCCCAATATCTGAGTTCTCTGGGAATGTACTCTAGTATTGCTAATGTCACTAAGGTAATCTGAGTATTGGCTTACAGAGAAAGAGTGATATTTATGGGACTGTGGTAATATCAAGCAAATCAGCTACAGTAGCATTGTCCAAGACAAGTTGCATATTAACACACCATAAGCACCAATTATGTTCCACCCCTAACTGTAGAGAAGAAATCCACAATTATGCTGTAAAAACTAAGGTACTGACTTAAAGATAATATGTACTAAACGCAAAAGGTGTATTTCTGCTAATGGTGGAAAAGAATTCAACAGTAATTTTATAGAGTTAACTAACTATCAGATGATTAACAAAGCTTAATAGTTATACTATTAGAGATATGGAGTTTGGGATTGGGAGAATGCAAGGGAAAAGAACTGAAACCTTAAAGTATGAGACTATGAAAAGGAAGAGAGAAAAGCGGTACAAAGGATCCTGTTGGGGAGTAGAAGGGTCTTTACAGAGTTAGATAAAGGTAAAAGAAAAACACCAATGACAAATAGAAGATAAAAGAAAAAGAGGGCGAAAAAAAGAAATCATGTAGGGAGTAAAAATAAGGGAGAAAGAATTAAAGGGAGAAAAATTTAAAGAGGAAAAATAAAGAGAAAAATAAAGAAAAAGAGATAAGCAAGGAAGAAGGACAAAAGAAAATTCTCCAATCTCCTGTAAACTGTTGAAAAAGAAAGGAGGAAAGGAAAGAAGAAAAAACAAAACTAAAAACAATTCACGAATTCACAAAAATAAAAACAAAAAAATAATAAAAAAACAGAAACAACCACAAAAATCCAAAACCAAAACAAACAAACAAAAATTTATCTGTGATTTTCTTCCAGGGTCTACAATTTTAAGGTAATGTCCAAATCAAGATGTGTTCCTGCTCACACTGGTAGATAAAGAAGGCAGTCAGACCCCAGATCTGCGCTCGGTGCAGGCACCAACAGGCAGCAGGATCTGGGCAGGGCCTGTGACTGTCAAATCCAGAGCAACTTGGACTGAGCCTGGCCTCTGGCTGTGGGGGCAGGGCCTGTGTCCTTTAGCTTCTTTTTTTGGTACTGGGAATTGAGCTCAGGCCCTGAGTCCTTTAGTCCTTTAGCTTAAATCTGTCAGGGGGTTTCCTTCCGGCCTGACTGTGGCTTCCCCATCTCTGCTGTCTACCATGGCTGTCTCTCACCCAATCATTTGGGAGTGTAACACTGGGAGCCCTGTATTGAAGCTGTGCTGTGGCTGAGTCCCCAGTCAGACTATCAGCCCTTCCCCAGAATGGCGTCTGACCAAGCACTCTCTCCAGGGAATATGGCACGTGCTTGGACTGGAGTCACTCACCAGCTGTTGCCTGTTGAAGGACTCTTGTGGGGACAGACCCTGCTGCAGCTCACAGAAACCGCTTGTCTGTTCCACCACTGTGTTTTTCCCTGAACTCTCTGGAGTCCTCAGCTTTTACTTAGTCTTTGTAGATTTAGTCTCTCATGTGAACCTTGCACCTGGGGGCCGGGGAGAAAGTGCAGATTGTCTCCTCCCTTCTCCATGTTGTGTTCTGTCTCTTCAGTTTCTCTGTAGGTTTTAGTTTTCTGTCAGACCTCTCCTGGTTGCCAGGGATCTCCCCCCCTCCCCGCCGCCGCCTCTCTCTCTCTCCTTCCCCAAGTTATTATTTTCCAGTGTCTGGACTGTGAATCTTGGAGAGGCAGAGCTGTTGCTTACCTCTCCACCATTTTCTTGGAAGTCCCTTGCAGTTATTTATTAAGCACATTCTATAAATCAGGGCTTATGCTAGGGGTGCAAAAAAATACACCAGTAAACAAAAACCACAGAGTTCTTGGCTTTATAATTTAAAATCTTGTGTACCCATTTGTTCCCATGCTTTATTTATTATTTGAGACAAGGTCTCACTGTGTAGTTCAGGCTGGCCTCGAAATTGAAGCGATCCCGAGTGCTGGGATTACAGGTGTGCACCACCACGCCTGGATCTCATGCTTTAAAGGTGGTGCTTTCCTGAGTTCCAAAGGAAATATACTTTCTTTTTCCTCCACCATGTCCCCTTGGGTGATTATATATATATTCCCTTGGCCTCAGTTCTAATGATGACGACCTACAAATCCCTAACTCTAAACCCTTCTTTCCTGATGTGCAGGGCCATATATCTTACTTTGTCTTTGGGACATCTTTACCTAAATGTACCATAGGCACCTCACCCTGATGTCTTTTCTTGGTTATGCTTTTACTTAAGAAATATATTCTGTTTTCTGATTCTAATACCCTTACCATCTACCTACCTGGTCTCCCAAGGCTAAACTATTATCATCCTTCATTCTTCCCTTTGCTTTTTTTTTTTTTTTTTTTTTTCAGACAGGGTCTCACTGATTCACTAAGTTGCCCAGGCTGGGCTCCAACTTGCAATGCCCATGCCTCAGCCACATACAGTGCTGGGATTATAGAGTTCTGTCTCTGCACTCAGCTGCTTCACCCTTATATCTATGTAGTTACCTGGATCTAGTTATTCAGTCTCATAAAGATCAGCCCAGTTTTGTTGTTTCATATATATGCTGCTAAAATGAGCATTCCCACCTTTGTTCATACTCCTTTAGTTTATCTTCCCTTGGGCTTATACTATTACCAGATCCTTTCTTTGCCTCAAAACACACCCCCATCTAATGTACACTTTACTACCAGAACTATCATTACCTGTTCTGGAGCCTTCCCCAGCATTGCTATTTTCCACTCAGTACCAGGCTGAATGAGAGATTGCTCGAAGAAGTCAGGCAATGGTCCCTTCAGTACTGGGTATTCCCTCCACATGGGGGATTTCTACTCTGCATATGCTGACTCTCAGGGTCCTTTTGAGCAGTGGAGCAGTTAAACAAGGCCCTTTGCAAAGTTCTCCAGACCTGTTACATCTTCTCTGATTCTTCCTTCCATTAGCTGGAGAGAGCTTTTATTTGTCTTGCAGTGAGAAAACTGCTCTAGAGTATTTTATATTATTCTTTCCTCTGTTGTTAAAACTCCATGCTATGAATCCTTTAGGTTTATACCAGGCGTGGTGGTGCACACCTGTAATCCTAGCACTCTGGAGGCTCAGGCAGGAGGATTGCTGTGAGTTTGAGGCCAGCCTGGGCTACATACTGAGTTCAAGTCCAGCCTGAAATACATAGTGAGACTTTAACTCAAAAAAACAAAACAAAGCAACGTAACATATGTAGCCCAGACTGGCCTTGAACTCCCTGCACTCCTCTTGGCTCAGGCATCCAGAGTGCTGGGATTACAGGTATACAACACCAGGCCAGCTAAACTTGTCTTTTTTGCCCAGGAGACGATAAGTGACAAGAACTCAATGTAAGGAGGGAAGGAGGAATAAAGTTCAAGAAGAAACTCTTGAGAAAGAAAAATCTTTGATTTTTTATCTCGAAATATTACCTTGCCGTAGAGATACCTTTGAGAAGTTTGAAAATAATCATTTTTTAATCTCTAGACCGGCACTGTTCAGTGTAGTATCTGCTGGCCACATGGGATTATTTGGGACTCATCTAAATTGAGATTTACAATACATATAAAATACATACCATATTTCAGACCTACTACAAAAGAATGTAAAATATTTCTATAATAATTTTATATTGATTAAAATGTTGAGATGTGAGAACATTTTGAATCTTATGGGTTAAATAAAAAATTAATTTTATCTGTTTCTTTTTAAATGTGGCTACTAGAAAATTTTAGATTACTTATGTAGCTTATATTGCGTTTCTACTTATCAGTGCTGCTCTGTAGCCTAAAGTGGTATTGTTAAGTGTAGAAAAAGAGTAAGGGAGGGAAGGAAAGAAGGAATGAAAATACAGCCTCAAAGAAGTTTTAATTTTTTTTCTCTCTGAGGTTATTATTTTCAGCACACAGGGTTGAACCCAGGCCCTTGTGTATGCTAAGCACGCATTCTACTACTGAGCTACACTCCCAACCGTTCTAAGTGATGTTAATTAAGACATGGTTTTGAACTGGGATTACTTGGAGGCTCACAGTGAGGTCCTTAAATGCAGGTGTCAGTAGTAATTTGTTTCAAGGGAAAAACTTTGGGTGTCTTGGCTACAGACACAGGGACTTGGGACTGAGAGGAAGGGATTATTTGGAGAATTAGAGACAGAGCATACAATACATATTAGTACCTGTCTTAGTTACTTTACTTGGAGCTGAAGCAAAATACTGGATACCCAAAGTTGAAAGAGGAAAGGTTTATTTCTGCTTACAGTTGTAGAGGTTTCAGTCCATAGTTAGTTGGCTCCAAGGCAGGGTAGCATGGCAGAGGGGTGTCACAGAGGATAATTCTGTCCATGGCTAGGCCAGAGACAGTGAAGCAGCAAGCCTGCTTTCTTTCTGTCCTTTTATATTCCATATTATTGGTCAGATAATAATAATCTTTTTTTTCTTTTATTAGACCCAAAATATGGAGCTGGCATATACTTCACCAGGAACCTCAAAAACCTAGCAGACAAGGCCAAGAAAACACCTGCCACCGATAAGCTGATCTATGTGTTTGAGGCTGATGTACTCACAGGCTCCTTCTGCCAGGGTCATCAATTAAATATTGTCCCTCTACCACTGAGTCCTGGAGCCATAGATGGTCATGATAGTATGGTTGACAATATGTACAGCCCTGAAACCTTTGTTATTTTTAGTGGCACACAGGCTATGCCCCAGTATTTGTGGATATGCACCCAGGATCATGAACAGTCACAGGATTATTCATCAGGACCAGTGATGTTCTCTTCACAGCAGCCTTGGGGGAAATTCTCAAGAAGCAGCTCTGTTGACTAATCTTGACATCATTTTAATGACTCACATGACCTTGGTTTAGGGGAAATAACTAAATCATAACCACCAGTGACTCAAAGAGTGGTCTGAACATTGCAAATGAGTCGTCCATTTGGATTGATTGGATTATTGGAAGGACCAGCAATGTAGTAGGATCTTAGTGCTTTCACCTTTGTCTTTATTTCTTGGGGCTAGGGTAGAAAGACACCAACCAAAACACTCTTGAGACTGTTCCTTTTCCTTGTCATTATTCTTTCATCTCTTTTACCTTAGGTAATAGCAAAAATTTTACATGCAATAAAGAGATTTTTCCAGAATATAATCCAAACCATTGATTTTCTAAAATGATGATATAAAATATGACAGCAGAATGATTTTAGATTTTCTAGAGAATTTTATAAAGTGCTTTAAATATCAAAATAAATCACCTTTGAGTAACTGGCTCTGAAAAATTATGTGCAAAATGAAAGAATCTGAAGTGGAAGAACATCAAAAGGCCAGTATTCCAGTTTGGATACAGCCATCTTAAGCAATGCTCCTCAGGCACCATGAAGCCAAGGTAGTAATTCACCAAATAGTTATTGATCATGAGAAACATTTCACTCACTTTCTGGGTACTAGAGATATGATACTGGATAAGGCAAGTATCATCACAGAGCTTTTAATCTGAATAATCTGAAAGGCAGATACAGCAACTTAAGAAGTATTGGGGCTGGGGATTTAGCTCAGTGTGGCTCCGGCGCCTACTGCACAAGGTCCCGAGTTCAATCCCTGGTACCAAAAAAAAAAAAAGAAGAAGTATGATTAGGTATATAATAAAAGGAGAATTACAGATTCTTTGGAAAAAGTTAAGAGGGAGCAGGATAAATTAATCAGGGAATTGGGAAGAAGCCTCCAAAAGGCTTCAAGCTGAGATCATTGGAAGTGTGTTAGGCAGAGAAAACAGCTCTGATAAAGGGTGAATACAATATGATTTGGCTCAAATTTGATTCCAAGGTACTATTTGTAACTTTCAAATCCTATTTCCTGTACTTCCAAATCTCCTGACCTCATACCCTCAACCTCTTGAACCTTTCTACTTGTCTTACCTTAACCTGCACTCTCCTTGAAAGAAGCATGCTTATTCTCTCATATGGTGTTGCCCTTGGATCTGAGCAACGGGGCTTCTACTTTGGAACACTAGTTTGAAAGATCCTTTCACATGGGACCCATGCTTGAGTCCCATCCCTACCCTCCTCTGGCTGTACCAATCACAACTAGGCGATGAGTCCACAAGGCAAAGAGGAACAGATCCTGTGCTACTCACCTGTAAGCCACCTAGTAAGTACCCAGGACTGCCAAATTTCTTGAAACAGCTGAGTCCACTTTCAGTGCTTGATTGCATCTTTCTTTGGTCTCTCCTGCATTATGCCATATTCTGCATTAAGAATGGCCAAGGGAGGGCGGGGGATTTAGCTCAGTGGTGCCACCGCCTGCCTCCCAAGCGGAAGGTCCCGAGTTTGATCCCCCGGTACCAAAAAAAATAAATAAATAAAAAGGCCAAGGGAGGGGAATGTAGCTCAGAAGTAGAGCACTTGCTTAGCATGCAGAAGACCCTGGGTTCAATCTCCAGCACCACTACAACAAAAACAACAAAAAAGCCAAGGGATGATTTCTTGCAGGAATGGGGGGCTGAGGTTCCACATGCACACATATGAGGTCTGTGGTACCAAGCTGAGAGTGAGAGAATGGAATCTTTTTCTTTCTTTTTTCTTTCTTCCCAAATAATATAATATAGGTAATATCTGTTTACTTAGTTGTATTTACATTCTTTTAAAAATTCTTATATTTATGTGTTTTAAGAAGGTACAATAAGGGGGCTGGGGATTTAGCTCAGTGGTGCCACCGCCTGGCTCGAAAGTGCAAGGTCCTGAGTTGGATCCCCATACCAAGAAAAAAAAAAAGAATATAGAATAATATGGCCTATAAAACTTAAATATGCCATAAAATTAAAATAAATTGTTTTACAGAGGATAGAAACATTATCTTTTGTTTTGTTTTGTTTTTTGGTACCAGGGATCAAACTTAGGACCATGCGCTTGCAAGGCAGGCACTGTTCCACTGAGCTAAATCCCCAGCCCTAGAAACATTGTTTTTAAATTGTCGTATTTTTCTTACATCTTTTATTTGCTTAATTGGTATTTCTATGAATTATTACCAGGTGCTACTTTTAACTGGTCTTATTGCTATTGTTAATAGCATGTATGTAGCAGAAAAGAAATATAATAGAATATATAATTTCAAGTAAATATTCTTCATATTTTTATATTGAAATAATAACATATATGCAATGTATATTATTTATTTCCACACCTAGTAGGCAAAAATTTAAAAATCAGACATTTCCAAATGTTAGGAAGATACATAAAAAGGAGAACCTTATACACCATGGAACATAAAAGTTGGTACAACACTTTTTTTTTTTTTAATTTTTTCCTACATTGTAGGTTGTCTCTTAGCTCTGTTGGTAGTTTCTCTTGCAGTGCGGAAGCTTTTTTTTTTTTTTGGTACTGGGGATTGAACTCAGGTCCTTGCACTTGCAAGGCAGGCAACAGAACCACTGAGCTAAATCCCCGGCAACACTTTGTAAAATAATCCAGCAATACCTAGTTTAGTTTTCTATTGCTGTGTAACAAATTACCACAGACCTCAAGGCTGAAAACACATTGATTATTTCACAGTTTTTCTGAGCCAACAGTTGCACCGCTTAGCTGGCTCCTCTGTTTAGTTTAACCAAGCTGTAGTGAAGCATAAGTCAGGCTGTCTTCTCATTTGGAGGCTTGATTGTGGATGAATCTACTTTCATACTCTCAGGTTGTTGGTGGAATCCATTTCCTTGTGGTTGTATGACTGAGGACCCTGGCTTCTTACTGGCTCTCACCTAGGTTCCTAGAGGCCATCTATGGTTCCCTGCCATCTTATCACATGGCAGTTTAAAACACAACAGCTTGCTTCTTCAGGGTCAGCAGGAGAGTCTCTAGCTCTAGTCTTCTAAGACAAAGTCTTATATAATAAAATGTCATCATGGGAGTGACATCTCATTGTCCATGCTATTTCTATTGGCTAAAAGGCAGGGATCCCATCCATACTCAAGATGTGAGGATTACACAGGGGTACTGCAAAAGGCATAGATCATGGGGACTATTTTAGCATTCTGCCTACCACATCTAATGACATTAAAGATGCAACACCCTAGGATATGGCAGTTTCCCTGTACACAGTATAGGGGTACAAGACTATGAATAACAACATTGATTGTGATAGAAAAATATTGTTCTGTAATTTTAAATTTCTCAATGTATAGACAGCTTATAGAACACCACATATGGCATAATAACATTTTTGTAAAGGTAACATAAGTAGGAATTATGCTTCCAGCAATGGCCTACTGCAGTTATTCTGGACCAACTCTTCTATATTAACTGGAGAAAATATTAAAAACATTAATGCACTGCAGAGGTAACAGGCAGTGGGAATTTGTGGATGTAAGATGTGGAAGAAAAGAGAAGCCATGAGAAGTGAGCCTGACATCTGTCATCACTTTTCCAAACCTGTGGTGATTGCTCAATCTAAAAGCAGTGGCTAAAAAAACTAAGCAGAGCTTTTGGCTGTCTCTTGGAGCTGAGAAGACCCTGCCAAAGAGGTCAGACCTACTAAAACCCTGAGAGCTTTGACTGAGACCTTCAAGGATTCTGCCTTAGGTAGGAGTTGGGGCAAACTGTAACAAACTTGCGTTCACAAGTCCATCTCTGAATACTTAATACCGGTTCATGATCAGAATAAGGTGATCTGTCCTCAGCCTAGCTATGGTCAGCCATACATGCCCCTAAGTCTCCCCCATAAAACACCTTCCCTTTCTCCAGCCCTCCTGCTGAAACTCAACTCTGATTCTCATAACCATACCATCAGTGGGAGAGAGGAAGGAAGAGATAAGGGACAATGGAGGGAGAAAGGAAGAGGGGGGAGGAAGGAAGAAAATGAACATTGTATAGCCTAGAATTCAATTAGTATGGCCCTTTTCCCCTCCCTCACACTTATAAATGTATTACAGCAATTTATATTTATAACTAGGACTTGAACCCGGGGCCCCCGCACTAAACTGCATCCCCAGTCCTTTATCTTGAGACAGGGACTCTCCCTAAGTTGCTAGGTTTCCAGACTGGGCTCAAAGCTTGTGATTGCCCTGCTTTAGCCTTCCTTAGCCAAAGTGCTGGGACTATAGGTATGCACCACCACACACGATGATCCCATCTTTCACCTTGTTTCTTGGGATGTTTTGTTTTGGTAAACCAAGTCACGTGAGATTTTTCTATTGGCGACTTCTGCTTGACTGATTCCAGTTTTTGGTTTGTTGAACCCATTACTTCATTTATTCCCTCAAAAGAATTCCATACAATTTGCCCCAATTTTTCGTTTGAGAGTACTTACTGAGAGGAAAGCAAGTATTTGTGTTAAAAATTAATTTCTTAATGACTTTATGGTACTTATAAATTGTCAGGCAAAGAGGATGGGTAATAATTAAAAAGAGAATACCTAGAAGCTTCCTGAAAACAGGCTGCATGTGAACCCTCTGAGGTGAAGCGCTGTACTTACTTCTGTAATACTCCCTCCGCCTTCAATCATCCGCCAATCAGTAAACTTGTACAGTACTGGGTACCTACTATGTGAAAGGGTAGATACAGAGACCGCAGGGGGGTCGGTTCGCCCTGGAATAGCCTAGTAGAGGCAGGTTGGAAGACAGAACTTTCCCGGCCTTTTCCAATAATTGCGAACCTCCTCCTCAGCGGGATTCTCTCCCCTCTTGGCTGTCGCGCGCAATCTGCGAGTTCCAGTCCAAAGATAGACTACATTTTCCGGCAGCCTCTGCGGCAGGCGGTGAAGGGGCGTGCGCATGCGCGCGTGCCGCCCCCCACCGCACGCAGGCGCAGTGTGCACGCCGGCTGAGCTGAGTCTCGCGCTCGGTGCGCGGCGGCGGAGAGAGAGGCCTGGTGAGCAACGCCGCGGAGCGGACCAGCTCTGGGTTGAGAGCGGGAGAGGTACGGCGGGCCGGCGAGCGAGCGAGCACCTCACCCTAGCAGTGGCACCGGGATCGGTTGCCTCGAGCCGGTGAGTGAGAGCCGCGGCCGCAGCCCTTCCCCCTCCCGCCGGCGGACCCGGCTGTCCTCCGCAGGAGCCCGGGAGAGGCCCCGGGGCGAGGGCGGGCGCCGGCGGTGCTCGGACTCGGGTTCCTGGGCCCGGAAGCCTGCGGCGCGTCCGTGCGTCACTGGCCGGCTGTCCTAACGGCCGCGCTGAGGGAGGGTGGGGGTGGGGTGATCGCCGTCGGGAACGCCGGGCGAGTGGGGCGGGGCGGCGCGCGGCGGTGGACGCGGCGCCGGGGACTGCGGGGCGCCGAGCCTGCGCCGCTGGGAGCGCGGGTGGCCGCGCCCAGGGCCGCGTCTGAGGCCAGCGAGAACCAAGGTGGCCTCTGGAGATCCTAACCCGGTGGGAAGGTACTGTCTCGGTACCACAAGTTACACCCCGGGCCGGAGCCGGCTCTTCGAGGGCCAGGGGAGTGGAGACGGACGGCCGCAGTTTACAGATGTCACAACACGAGCTGAGGGCGGCGGACTGGGGTGTGGTAATTATATGAATGACAGAACTTCAGCAGCATAGACGGTGAGCCGCGAAGCGAAGGAAACCGCCAAATATTAGATATGCTCAAAAGGGGAGGAGAAAACTCTAGGATGATTGGAGTCAGCGAAGTCGTCATGAAAGAATGTTTTAGGGGTGATGGGAATGTTTCGTGTTTTGCTTACAGTGAAGAGCTTCACAGCTGATTTGGTAAGCAGTAACAGTTAAACTTGAAACATACAATTGAACAACTCGCTTAAACAATACCTTCAAGATCTTCAATTAGCAGCAGTTTAGCAGGTAACATTCCTCTCTTGTTGCTTTAAGACTGTCTCCCTGTATAGTCCAGACTGTCCTAGAACTCGAGATATTCCTGGCTCAGCCTCCAGAGTGCTGAGATTACAGACAAGAACAAACCTGCCTAGCTATGGCTTATTCTTGGCACTGTGTTTTCCTTAACTCAATCTGGCATTTGTAATGTTTTGTAAGTAATACACAAGTTACTCTTTCCATTTTAAAGACTGAAGAGCTTAAAGTTTAATTTTTCAAAGGAAAGCGAGGTGCTCAATTGTATTTTTACTGAAATGGTTTATTCTCCGAAGGCACTATTTTATGGTTATACGTGATTGTAAGGTGGAGGACATGAGCGGGAGTAAAGGAATTAACATTTATTGCGCTCCTTTCCAGGTAATGTGCTAAATATTTACATGTATTAAAATGTCATCTAATGCTTAATATAACTTTGAACTGATGTTACTTTTTCCTGTTTTATACCCAAAAGCATGGAAGGGCAGAGAAGTGATTTAATACAAGGTCATTCAGCTCTTGTTGCAACCCCAAATTACTGCCATTTTAAGAATTATTTTTCTTTTCCTTTTGAATTTCTTGATTGTGTTTTTTGGTTTCTCAATACTGGGAATTGAACCCAGGGCCTTTGCACCGAGCTACATCCCCAGCCCTTTTTAAAAAATTTGAGACAGGCTCTTTCTAAAACGATACGTTGCTTAGGCTGGGCTGGAATTTGTGATAGTCCTGCCCCAGCCTCCCAGAGTGCTGGGATTACAGCTGTGTGCTACCAGGTCCTGCTGTGTTTTATTTTTAATTCAGTCATTCAGCAAATGCTTAATGGAGATGCAACTAGAGATGTAGTCAAGATTGAGACACACTGTCCATATCTTCATGGAATGTGTAGTTTAATAGGAAAGACTAACAATACAAATATTGACTGGGAGACATTTCATTAGTCATTGTAATTGAACAGAAACTGTAAAAGAGCACTTTATTAAATAGCAGAAGAAGTTCACATGTTGACAACATCAGCCTTGAAGATTTACGGTCCCAGGGAAATAAAACATACATGTATAAAAACTTAGAGTGCGTCTGGGGGATGTAGCTCAGTGGTAGAATCTGGCATGTGCGAGGCTCTGGCTTTGGTCCTCACCACCACTGAAACAAAAACAAACAGAATAAATTAAATGACAGAAATAAAAGCATCACCTGAAATCAGTATATTTGATTTATGTTCTTTCTAACACAGTCCTCATGGAAGTTTCTTTGTAGAACCATTACTTAATATTATGCACCTTGACTTTTATTTAGAATTGATACATACCAAAGGGGACTACAAAACATACTTTATTGCCACTCAAGACTGTTGTTAATATGTTTATTGGTCCCTATAAAATAATACAGACCTTAGAGACAAATTCTTTGTTCTTTTTTTGGGGGGTACCAGGATCGAACTTGGGTCCTTGTGCTTGCGCAGCAGGCTACAAAACCACTGAGCTAAATCCCTGGCCCTCTTTATTATTATTTATTTATTTTCTTTGAGACAGGGTCTCACTGTGTAGTTCACGCTGGTCTTGAACTCACTAGCCTAGGTCAACCTCAAATTCTCAGCAGTTTGCCTGCTTCAGCATCCCAAGTGCTGGGATTATGATGTGTGCCATCATACCTAGCTAGAGACAAATTCTTTTAGAGCTCAGTGCTGAGATTTTTTTTTTTAATTTTCATTTTTTACTTTTTATTTCCCATGAATATTTCTTTTCTAAGCCATCCTGTGTAAGAACTTTATAGTCTTTATACAAAAGGTAATTGAAAAAATGTGGTGAACTTAAATTTATTGCAATAAAAGACACATTGTCATTAATCCCCCTCCGTACTTCCCTTTGCTTCGATTTTTTTGTTCTTGTCTTGAGGCAGGGTCTTGTTATATAGTCCAAGCTGACCTTGAACTCACTATTGTAGCCCAGGTTGGCTTCGAACTGGCAATGATCCTCCTGCCTCAGTTTCCCAGATTCTGGAATCACAGGCATGCGCCACTATGCACCACTTGTTCTTAAGCAGTTCTGGAAGTCCTCTTTTGTGAGTATCTTTAGAAGGTGTGATCAAAAATACAGTGAGAAAAAAAATACAATGAGTGCTGCTGCCATCCAGTGGAAAGGGAGGCTTATAGAAGCAGTGTTCTCATCCACCTTATTCACCAGATCTGGCCCACTGTGCAACTTCTGGCTCTTTCCTAACATCAAAATAACCGAGAAAGGTAACATTTTGATGGCTTTATCAAGGCAGCCATGAGAGTGCAACTAAAAATGAAAAAAGACTTGCATAACAGTTTCAGAAAGTGGCAGGAACAATGGGATAAGTGTAGCTGAACAGAGGGGTAGTAGGTTGACATTAATGGCACTGTGTCTTTTACTATAATAAATCTTAAAACATTTAAACACACTTGTACTTCTCTGTAACTCTGTATGTGTAAAAAGATCAGGTAAAGGTGACTGACCTAGTAGTGATAAAGACAATCCTAATTACTCTCTTTTTAAGATAGCTTTGTACTTTGTAGGGATTATGAATTTCGCTATAATGATGGAAGAGTACATTGAAAATGGTAAACAATTTTCATTAGCTGACTTAGGCTGATTCTTTCTTCCCTTGCAGTAAGCAGGAGGTGGCCCCAGTGCAACTGGGGGCTACAAAGGCCCTGCAGTGGAAAACTTTGAAGATGTGCATTGAAAGAGAAGGGATGAAAACTGATGAATGTACAGTTTGGTTTTGTTTTTAAAGATGTTAATCCTATAAAGCAGTCCTAAATGAAAAAATTGACTCTGTCCTAGTGTTGTAGACTAATTGGGACAATTCTTAAGAGCAGGCACCAATCCAGAATGTGGATAATAGGGATAATCTCCCTCATATAACAAGAATAATACTGTCCTTCATATACAAAGATAAGTGCTTCATCATCATGATTGATTTTCCAGCATGAAGAGGAATATATGCTGAGCTGTCCCTGTTTTTCTACACTCTGACCAACAAAGAAGAGGGGTTAGAAAGGGAGTTTGTAACTTGGGAACAGAAAAGCCCAGGAAAAGTACTAAAATCTATTGATAGTTCAAGATACATACATATATATCCCCCCAGACTGTCTCACTTATATAGTCCAGGGTAGCCTTGAACTCACTGTGTACCCCAGGCTAACCTCAAACTCAGTGATTCTCCTGCCTCAGCCTCCTTAGTGCTGGGATTTCAGGCCTGGACCACCACACCTGGCTTGATTTCAGCTATATTTCAGATACTTAATTATCCTTGCAGAACCCCTTTTGAGGAGGTGCTTACTCATACCTGATCATACTGTAGATTAGGTAACCTACCTGCCCTACCTCAGAGTAAGTGGTGGAGCTAGGATTCAAACATAGGGCTATTTGTATACTATGTTCACATCAGTCATTAAGGCTTGATTTTCTGTTTGCTCACCATTAGAACGAGGTATTTTGTTCAGCAACTTGAAATGATGCTGTAAAAATCTAGTTTATTAACAGGTGAAAGATTATTCAAGTTTCTTACCACCACTTAAAAAATACAATTTTAAAATTAGAATAATATCTGAAAAGCTTCCTGTTTTAGCTGCTGCACTTAGACACTACCCCTTTCTCTTAGCCATTTCCTCTTGTTTGTATTCATACTTATAAATACCTCCCTTTCATTACAGTTTCCTTTTTTGTTTTTTGGTGCTGGGGATTGAATTTAGGGCCTTGGGCATGGTAGGTGAGTGCTCTATCACTGACCTCTACTCCAGCCCCTATTTGTTCTTAATATAGCAGTTTTAGTCATTATCTATTCATTTAGCTCTAAGCAAGATACTATTCCTTGGTTCTCCATACATATCCACCTCCCCAAAATACATAAACACACATGCACTGCACACATACACACATACTGCCTCTCCCCTCTTCTCAACATAGTTATCAGAGGTGTTTTTTCGGTCAACATTTAGTGTTTATAGTATTGTAAATATTCACTGCAAAACTGGGTGGAGTACTACATCATTTCCTTTCTTGACCAGTTTGTTTTTCTAGGAGTTGATAGGAGCCCTTTGTCCTCTCAATGCAATCCAGGCGCTTTCAACAGTTGTTATTCTGGGCCTTCTTGTTATGTCATCTATAAATTCTCTTTACCCTTCTTCTGTATTGGTTCTCCTTTCCTGTATATTCTTGGCTTAT